TCAAACTCCAGGGTGGGGTGAACAAACTATTGTTTCGGAGCGGTTTTCCCTGGCAATTGATAACTCTGCCTAAACTATAACATATATGCTCACCTTTTAAACCTCTATAAAGCATCTTTTGGGATGTACTGTAGGGATGGGCAAAATGAAATATTTTCAAACTCGACTAGGCATTTGGTTGCCTGAATGTCTAGTAACTTCTCAGCCTTAAGGAAACCCTGTATAATTTGCTGCTTTTGGTTCCCCTGACCCGACATATTTTTAGAAGGCGTTCACATAACAAAGGGTTTTGATCCAGAAATTAATTCCTCTAGTTCTATCCATCATTTTCTCATCCTGACCTCAAGAGACGGTGTGTCGCGTTCATAACGTGGATAATGTGTGGCGGAGAACACAGCATCCCCAACTACATCTAGTCGTCCAATCACCAGCACCGTCACTGTTGTGGGCGTCCAACATAGGTGAGGATTAAGGATTTAGCATAATAAGATTACACGGCCAGTGAATGATATCAAGAGACAGTCCATATGCGGCCGCCTGGTTTTCCACTGGCACCCTGTGTGTGTGAGAGAGAGGCTGGGAGAGTCAGCTGCTTGGAATCAAATGGAGTTTAGCCAAAATCAAACAGACCTTCAGAAAATTGAGATGAAAATCTCTATTTCTGAACATTCCCCCTGTGTGTTCGGAACAAGCACTAACTGCCACATGATTCCCTGGGCGGGGAAGTGACAGAACCAAAATGAATTTGATCTAACAATTGGATAATTAACTCCAAGTCTCCCCTTAATCCAGGATTACACAGTACAATGTATATATTTGCTACACAGAGTCACATAGAGCATCTCTGGAGAGCCATCTGTGGCCCCGGACCCCCAAAACCCATAATGCGACAGAAGGGAGAAAGGGTTCCTAGAGAGCTCAGAAGCAGGTGGCATCTAAATGCTCTTTTAATCCTATAAATCTGCTGTAAAACAAACTTTTAAAATTGAACAAATCTCTTGAGACAGAGCTGTCATCAGTGATGTTTTAGAAGCATTTAATCTGATAAACAGCTCTATAAATAATAGATTTACAGTTTAAAAATTGGCACTGAAACTTGTTGAATTATGATTATAATATCATTACATGGCAAATGCTTTTCCATTTCACACGAGAACTTGCCAACAAGTAAGACAATAGCTAAAAACAACAACAAGTGCTTTGTTGTAAGGATGTGTTCATTTTTATTTCTTAAGTATTAGAAAAATGAAATAAGCTGTTGCATCTTGAACTCAGGATATGGACGTTGCATTAATATGGCAGGTGAAGTAAAAAAAAAAAAGTTGTGAAATAGTTCAACAGACCCTGCATAGATCAGTCTACGCAAAAACACACTACCTTACAGTCTCCATATAGTGATACACTGGATATATATATATATATATATACCAAAACAAAAATTAACACACAAAAAAATTTAAACAAATTAAAACAGCCGAAATGCATCATGTGAGAAGTGCTAATTAAGAATTTCATTTTTTTTTTTGTCACTGTTGTTTTTTCAGTGGCAAATTTCTGTGCATAATTACATATAATATTGAGGTAAATAATCTACGGCATACATAAATGTTTTACTTTTTAAAAATCAAATGGAGGCACAAACAGTTTCAAATATTACAGCAAACCACATAGATATCCCTTTAAGAGTCAATTACAATGAAATATATACTGCAAACACCTGGTAAACAAAGCAAAGCGTGCAAACACCAATTCAGGCATTGAGACTGATGTCACACTTGTGTAAAGGTCACAGTGACTCCATGCCACCATCTAATGTGCTAACACTCCGCTGACCTCCTGAAATAGCAAAGAAAATAAACAGCAGCCCAGGTGACACTGGAAAGCAGGCTGCAATTCTGAGCACCATTGTTCATGATTGCCGGACATTCAGAATGAAAATTTGTAAAAAAAGAAAAGAAAATTGGTTCAGAAAACAATCATTATAAACAAAAATGATGCTAAATAGCACTGTGGTTCACTGGCTTGTAATCATAGGGGAACCACTTTAAGTGCCATCTTTAAAGATGCTATACAGCACCTTTGTCAAATGGTGCTATGTAGAACCATAAGAGGAGCCCCATTCTCCTCCTTAGATTTGAGATGTTACGCCACTCTGTCATATGTTTGCTATGAATGGGAATTTACTACAATGGCAAAAGCAGTTTTGAATCACTTTTATGCTTTTCTGAGGTCAAAAAGTCTTGTGTGGGGGCCTGGAATATTTCCTTATGGGGGGCCTTGGGGGCAAAAAGGTTGAGAACCACATCATCTTCTGGAAATACACTTTATTTTAATGCCACTTTTTAATCTTTCCCCAACTAAACTGAGTGACTAGAGTTAGAGAACCGTTAAAGAACTACAGTATACAGGGGCGGCTTAACAGGTGCTATGTAGCACCTCAACCACCCCGAAGGACCACTGAAGAAAATGTTTTTGTGTGCGTGTAGAAAAAATACTAATATATAATATATACACTAACGGTCAAAAGATTAGAATACTTAAGATTTTATGTCTTTGAAAGAAGTTTCTTACACTCACCAAGGCTACATTTATTTGATCAAAAATACAATATGACAGCAATATTGTGAAATATAATTACAATTTTAAAAAACTTTTTTTTTTTTTCCCTGTGTGATGATACATACTGGGATTTAGAGGCAATATTAAATTCTTAAATTATGTATTTATTCATTATTTTACACCTTAAAATATCCTAAGACAGTGAGTAATAAGAGAGGAACTGAATCCCAAGGCCTGCTTCACAGCTTCTTATCACAGCACATCTGCATTTAGACATACATGAGGAGCTCGACTTTGGGAGCTTCTGCGGGACTTAAGAAGATTACATAGATTTGAATAGAGTTAACTAAGATGGCGTTCCCCCGAGAACCCAGATGGAAGGAAGATGAGGAGGGGGGGGGCCTCTCTGATGTTCTCGATCTGTGTGGCAGAAGGCAGCTGAGGGTGGCCTCGCATTGCTCTCTTTGTCCGTTGAAAGGGATCGGAGAACCTAAAGATTTGGTAATCGGGAGGCTATCAGTGCGGCTATCAAAATGAGGCTGACACCTGGTTGGTTGATGGAGGACAGATGTCTGCATGCATGACATAAAGGAACCCTCCCTCCGTCACTTGATTTTTACAACAGTCCAATGGAAATCGAATTAATTTTAAAAGGCAGATAACGACTAAAGCCAATTACAGAGTCAATCCCCATAAATATGACCAAAATTTAAGGATTTCAAAGGATGCTGAGCTAGTTCTGTAACAATGACATGACAGACTAATCTTTATTGAAATGACCTTTGACTGCAGTCTGAACCCAAGATAGAGCTGAAAGGCAAACAGATCTTATCTGATGTCCCAAGTTAGGCCTTCTGTTTTGGCTAAAAGAGAAATCGTACAATTCTCCAATCACTAAATGCCCATCCCTAGTACCGATTTCTTTTTAAAATTAGCCTGCTTTGTTTTTATGTTATAGATATCTTTTATTTCATATTGGAAAACAAATACAGATTAATGCCATTTCGGAGCAGAGAATAAAATGACCTTCCTGTGGGTCACAAATAATAGTAACCACAACCCTATAATCATCCTGGCATCCAAGATTATTACTTTCCTTTCAACACCAACGCAAACAAACCCTCCGCAGATGACAATCTAACTTCCCTTCTGAGCAATGCCACTATATTCTTAACCTCAGATTGTGGTGGCAAAGAGAATCACGCTGGGGAAACCCAAACAAGCTGCCCAGGAAACATTTGACATGTTATGACTGTTAGTATTAGCACTGTGTGGAACAATCAGATACGAGTTGATAAAAATAACATAAGCGATACCAGCATCTGGATGACCTAAAAAGTGCACCTTAACAATAAATGGACCGGTCTAGTGGAAATCTAGAATTTTCATGTATGAACTTTTCCACGACATTCTAACTTATTGAGATGCACCTGTATATATAAAGAAACTTTAGTTTTTGAATGGCCAAAACTATCAGATATAAGACTCATTTGACACTCACTTATATGAAAGGATGCATTATATTATCCCACCTATAAATTAATTACAAGTCAATAAATATGGATGATAAATACTGGTTTGCATCTCTTTTATTATGTAAGAAACTACCACGGCAATAAGGAAATTGGTATGGGTCAAAGACGAGACGTCCCATTTTGGAGACTGTATCAAATAAAATTTACAAAAGCGATTGATACACACAGAAAGCATATTAAATGCAAGCTTGCAAGTGTCTACATTCATATTTCAAACAAATTTTGTTTATATAAAATGTCAAAATATGGGAGAAATTATGTTCCATTGTCATTCAGCGTAACATTTTTATGTAAAAATTAAACAACACACTTATTCTGACCTGTACTTATTAAAATACAAATACAAATATATATATATATATATATTGCTTCTCTGATGAATAGAAAGTTCAAAAGAGCTTGATTTTTCAAATATAAATATTTTGTAACACTGTAAATGTCTTTACTGTCACTTTTGATCAGTTTAATGCGTCCTTGCCAAATAAAATGATGTATTCATTGCTTTTCAATATGAATACGCTTACAATGACAGCTTCAGTATTTACTCTGTCACTGGTTATGAAAGAAGCTCTGATCTGTTCACTACATTTGCTAAGTCTTGTCTAAAGTACAAGGGCATCATGATTTCTCTGTGTTATGGCTCAGGTGGGCCAGTTTCAACATCGATAGCAGGATATACATACATGATGTCCAGTGTGATGGAATTATAATAAACGCTAGTCATTTGTACACTAATCCTACCTGACTCGTGTCCATTCACAGCGCGATGTTTGTATTTCTTGATCACACCTTTTCTACGCAGCTGCAGTCAACCTTGAACTCCACTGCATCATCATCGCTAAACAAGTCTCCTTCTGATTGGCTAAGAGAGCAACAATTCAGTCTCTGATTGGCTGTAGAGTCATCGCTCTGCTGTCAACAACAGAAAAACATGGCGGCTCCCATTAGAGGCATGGCTGGATCCATCAGCATAGGCGACACAACTAGTTTTCAGAAAAAAACCCGCAGCAAACTAGTTTCTATCCCTGGAACCAGACCGTCTGTACAGAACGGACAGCTCTTAGTGTCATCTGGCGTCAGCTCGCTTGACTACGTGATTGGTTAGTACAATTCACTCGGCTGAAGCTTAATGTTAAGTGAAAGTGCACTATATTTATATTTTGACATGGCACTCTATCGTCTTCATATTTATTAATACATCTAGAAAAATTCCGCATTAATAGACTTTTGTCTGCACTCCTGTCACACGTATAATGTATGCAATTAAAATGTTTTAACCTCACTGAGAAATCCCATCGATCAAAATATCAGGGTAATTTTTTGTTCATTAAGGATATTATCTTTGCATTACAAGAAAATTAATAGTATTAAATGAACTATTTTTGTATTTTAGGTCCTGTAAGGTATTGATTAGATAATGATTACTTTGTATAGGCTTGTATGTATTGTAAAAGTGACAAAGAAGTCCCTGAGAAATAAGAGTTATGTATTATAATCATCATTAATCTTGTGATTCTTCTTTGTATTTATAATACAACACTCAAAAATAATACACTATATACTATGTATATTATATAAGATATATTACTATATTTCTATGTATTTCTCTATTTCATTTTGCATACCCACAGTACTGATTGATTCTAGTTTAAAAGTTAATCTTCGTAATAGTAGCCATTTTAATAATAATGCAGAATGGTATCTTGTACAATATGAGTCCAAAAAATGTTTTCTTTCAAAGTATGTGCACTTGACCTTTTCTGATTAAGTTATAGAGATACCTTTGTCTTTTGAAGTGCATGATGTTGGTTGACCGGTAGATAAACCACATTATGTGTTCTGTCATTAAGACATATACACTTTTCCTTAGGTGGTGGCCTGGCAGTTGGAACTCTGCTGCTTGTAGGTAAGAAATGAAGCAATGTCTTTATACTGCCATGTCTTGTCAGTAAGTTGTGAAGCTATTATTATTTCTGGCTATTATGTTTGAACTAAGCCAATTGTTTGCATGTCATAATATGTAGACAAAATATGGATTAGGTATTATAGGTATTGTAGATTTATGTAAGATTAGATTCAACTTTATTGTGCAGAGTACAAAACCAAAGCCAATGAAAAAATACAAAAGCATTTAACCAGAACTGCAAATAGCAATAGTGTGTGTGTGTGTGTTATTTAATTTATTTGCATTTAAGATGCAGATAATAATGTAGTTGCTTCTGATTCTACGATTCAGTAGGCTGATAGCTCATTAGATATGATGATAACTCTGATTAAACAACCCCAATTCCAGAAAATGCCATAAAATCAAGAATAAAAGTGTTCATTCTCTTTAACATTTATTTAATTGACTAAAGTACAAAGAAAACAAATTCCAATGTATTCACTGGCCAACTTAATTTTATTTTGTAAATATAAACAAATTTAGATTTTGATGGCTGCAACGCATTCCAAAAAAGTTGGGACAGAGGCATGTTTAACACTGTGTCAACATCAACTTTCCTTTTGTTTAATTGTTTTGGAATTGAGGATACTGATTGTTAAAGTTTTGCAAGCAACATTTTTGTGCAATCTCGCTTGATACAAGATTTCAGATGCTCAGCAGTCTGTGATGATCATTGTCGAAACCACGCTGTTGTAGCACATGCAGAATGAGACCTGGCATTGTCTTGATCTAATAACCATGGACTTCCCATGAAAGATGTCATCTGAATGGCAGTATATGTACAATTCCAATATATGCCTCCATGTCAATCTTACCTTCGCACATATTCCAGTCACCCATGCCGTTTGCTCTGCTGCACCCCAATACCATGACAGATGTTTGCTTTTGCATCTGTCGCTGGTGAAAATCTGGATGGTCCCTTTGGTCTTTGGGACTGAGAACGTCCATTTTTCCCAGAAACAAGTGTGGACTCATCTGACCACAGCACACGTTTCCACTGTCTTTTTGACTATCTGAGATGAGCTCTGGCCCAGAGAACCCCACAGCATCACTGCATAGAGTTGATGTACAGCTTTCTCCTTGAGTAACAGAGATTCAAGTTGCATTTACTGATGCAGTGGCAGACTGTGTTAACTGATAGAGGTATTCGAAAGTACTCCTGAGCCCACGTGGTTATATTTAACACAGCAGCATGAAGGTTTCTTATGCAATGCCATCTGAGGACTCAAAGGTCAGGCACATTCAACTGAGGTTTCCTGCCTTTCTATTTTCACTATATTAGTATAATTGTTGGTGAAAGACCTAAATTCTTTGCGATTTTGCATTTAGAAATGTGGTTTTTGATTTGCTTGACACTTCTCTCATGAAATTTGGCATAAAATGATGAGCCATGATCCAGCTTTGCTTCAAAACAGTTTAATTTGGATATTCTATAACCTTTTCACTTTTATGTTGCCTGTGTCGCAACTTTTTTGGAGTGTGTTACAACTATCAAAATAAAAATTTGTTTACATACAAAATACATTAAAGTTGGTCAGTGAAAACTTTGGAAATGTTTTCTTTGTACATTTGTCAATTAAATAAAAGTTAAAGAGAATTGACAAATCACAGATTCTTGATTTTATTGCATTTTACAAAACGTCCCAACTTTTCTGGAATTGGGGTTATAGACTAATTATGTTTTTTGAAATTCTGAAAGGTTAACGGCAGTTTACCTGAGTAGTTTGACATATTTAATTTTGAGGATCTTTCTGTTGCTCCTCATCATTTTATTTTATTTTTTTGGACATTTGGTTAAGAAAGTTGACACTTTACACTCTAGTATATGACTGCCATATCATTTTGTTTTTGTTGAATAGTGTATCATTTTGATGTAGTTCATTATTGTCAAAACATATATTCATGAGGATCTTATATATTTATGGCCTAATTTCTATTCTTTGCATTCTTTTTCATGTTGAAGTAATTCTTTCACTTCATTGGAAGTTTATTGGTCATGGTCCTTTATGATGTTGAGTCCTGTCTAGGTCACTCATGTCCCCCAACATGACCCACATGAAAGAGACCACAGCTGTGTATATGAGACACATAGATGTTTATACTTTCTAAATGGGAAATAAATTATCTGCTTAATTTGTGTGCTGTAGCTTTATCTAATATACAACAAATTACATACTTTTTTTTCAGATGTTATAAGTGAAGTGTGTAATTTTTGTGTTACAAGTAGCACCAAAGGAAATAGTAAAAAAAAAAGAATACAGAAATATTTTGTAGTGCCAAAGTGCTTACATTTTGGTTAAATCAGTTTCATTTTCTGCATATTAAACTGCTATAGAACAAAGTATTTTAATACTGAAAAATACACACTTCACATTTAAGATTAGGGTCAAATTTGTAAGCTATTTATGTGGAGTTGAAAATTGAGCTGTTATTATTTGATGCAACAGTGATCAAAATAAATGATGGAAGCGTCCCCAGAGGTTGCACATTTAATTCCCATTTGTATTACCGGTGCCATTGTGAATCAGTGGGACTCAGACGGCAAACATATGGAACCAGGAGGGCAGAAGTGTTGACCCAAATTTCCCCTGCAGCTTTGAGTGTCTGACTCACACTCGCTGCACACACACACTCCTACTGTCTTATACACATGCTAAAGTACGGCTTGCATTATTCTTTCTCCAAAAGAGACACCCTCTCTTCTCTGCATCAGAAAAGATAGGAAGTCTCTAAATGTCCCACCTCTTGGGTGAATGATATGTGCCAGAGTTGTGTTGTCTCTACAGCAGAGATATGCACCCCCCAACACATCTCGTCCCGCCCCCGAAACACCCCCGCTAGGCTAATAGCACCCGCAGGTTTTATTTGTAAGGCACCATAGAAACGCCACCACAATAGGCTCCATCTCGAGTGGGCCCATCTGGGTGTCTTTGTCGGGTCCGCTGAAAGCCACAAAGGCCTGCTGACCTAGAAACACATAAATAAGGGAGAGGGGAGTTCTTCCAATGACAAATTGAAGAGTTGAGGAATTGTTTTTTTCTTTCATTGGTGATGGGAGATGAGAGGCATCCAGGTAATCCCTCATTCTCTCCTGCTGATGGAGGAATCCTTCAGAGGTCACACAGTGGCTTTAGACCTGTGTGGGTTTGAGGGTGTTTGTCGAAAAGAATGGAAGGTTGAAACTGTCAGTGTGTGTGTGCTTTTGTGCTGGAGAGGGGAAAAAAGCAGACTGTGAGTGTTTCTGAGCTGGCCATTGCTCAACTCTTTTACAAGAAGTCAGATCTTCTTGTAAGCACTAAAGCAATTGGGGCAGTTCCTTTAAAGGGGTCATATGATGTGATTTCAATTTTTCCTTTCTCTTTGGCGTGTTACAAGCTCTTGGTGCATAAAGAAGATCTGTAAAGTTGCAAAGACTAAAGTCTCAAATCCAAAGAGATATTCTTTATAAAAGTTAAGAGTCAGCCACGCCTACCTAAAACGGCTCGTTCTAACACGCCCCCACATGTCTACGTCACAATGTGGGAAGATTTGCATAACGCCGCCCAAATTTTCACGCAAAGAAAGAAGGTGTAACTTTTATTCTCGCTGTAGTTTTTGTCTCGTCGCTCCGGCCGGACAGGGCATCACAATATGGTAAGGGGGCGTAACATTTCCGTCACACGCTTGAGGTATTCGGCCAATCACAACGCTCTGGATAGCTGGCCAATCAGAGCACACCTCGCTTTTCAGGCTGATGAGCTTTATAAAAATCGACGCGTTTCAGAAAGGCGGGGCATAGAGGAGAAACAAGCAGCATCATATGACCCCTTTAAAATGTATTTTAAATAAAAAAAGACTAAATATACAAGATGTTGCTCAAAACTGCAGGGTCATTACAATTTATTTTTAAATAAATCAGTAGTTTTATTCAACAATGATGCATTACATTGATCAGAAGTAACAGTAAATAATTTTATAAGGTTACAAAAAATGTCTATGCATCAAATAATCCTGAAAAAACTTTTCCACGAAAGTATTAAGCTGCACAACTGTTTTCAACATTAACAATAATAAGCAAATCAGCATATTAGACTGATTTCTGAAGGATCATGTGATTTCAAGACTGGACTAATGATGCTGAAAATACAGCTTTGCTTCACATGAATAAATTATATTTTTAAATACCAATCAACTGCCACTGGAATGGCTATTTTAGACCACCTTGGTGCTTTCAGGGTGTTATTATGTATGAAAATGAATGAAACACTGTAATAGTAATGACATTTTGAAGGCATTAGTTTTGTTTGTATAACGTCTCCAGTTTCTCAACGTAACCGTGGTTCCCTGAGAATAGGGAACGAGACATTAGGGGATATAGGTGATGTCGGGCGCCAATTCACCTCAGAATCTTTAGACTGAGCAAGAGTCGTTGAGGCTCTGAGGAACATTTCCACACGGCAGTTTACGTAATGTCACGTTCCCTCCTCTCAGGGAACCACGGTTACATTGAGTAGCCGGAGATGTTCCCTTATCGAGTTTGGTCTCTCGACATTGCATTTGGGGAACGTATAAAACCCTGCTGTGTGAAAACCAAGCTGGTCCCAACTCGAACAGAGCCGATACAGTAGACTAGACACATGCAGTAGCAAGCAAAGCAGTGGAGTGCTTGCCCTGCCCTTAGGTCGGGTACCGAACCTTGTTGAAGCACCTAAACAACCGTATCATAATAACCTGGGCTCTGAATGATGTTGAGAGCACTTCAGGTGTATAGCCATGCCTGGGCGTCAGTCTGACCATGCAATCTGCGGCACTAGTTTGTGCCAAATGGTGCGGCACTATTTTGACTGGAGGGAATGCATAGTGGCCCGACAGTGCGTCCCCTTCCAAGGGAGCGGTCTTTAGCGAGAAGAATAACGGGTAGTGGGCATTCTCCTCTGAAGCAAAGAGGTCAATTTCCGTTTCCCCAAAGCGGCTCCAGATCATCTTCACTGTTTGAGGATGTAGTCTCCACTCTCTTTGTATAATGCCCTCCCTGAACAGCATATCCACTCCTCAATTCAAACTGCCCGGTACATGCACTGCTCAAATCGAGAGGAGTGTTTGATCCACCCAAAAGAGCAGGCGCTGTACCAAGCTTTGCGGGGCACGCGAGCGCACTCCTCCCTGGCTAACTTTAACACTTTGAATTGGTATGCAACACTTTAAATTGTAAATTGCTGGAAGCACATGAGATGAGATGCTATCTGAATATGAAAATAAGCATCTTTCTCTACTCTGTTAATAGCTGACCACCGCTTTGAGGCAGGGGGCTGCTTGTATCGAGGGAACAAGTGCATGATTGGAATTTTCCTGTGTTAGGTCTGGTTGCATCACTAGCAACCAGAATAAACATTTGTTTTCTTATTTCATCATCTGAGGTTAGTCTTGTATTTGTTCTCTGTGTTGGCATATTTACAGTATCTGATGTGATAGTGACTTTGACCATTCTTTTGTCACGAGGTGCGTCAAAAGGCTCACCACTCTATGTTTTGGTCTAGTTTGGGTTGATCTACTATCTGAATATGAAAATAAGCATCTTTCTCTACTCTGTTAATAGCTGACCACCGCTTTGAGGCAGGGGGCTGCTTGTATCGAGGGAACAAGTGCATGATTGGAATTTTCCTGTGTTAGGTCTGGTTGCATCACTAGCAACCAGAATAAACATTTGTTTTCTTATTTCATCATCTGAGGTTAGTCTTGTATTTGTTCTCTGTGTTGGCATATTTACAGTATCTGATGTGATAGTGACTTTGACCATTCTTTTGTCACGAGGTGCGTCAAAAGGCTCACCACTCTATGTTTTGGTCTAGTTTGGGTTAATATATGTGACATTGATGGTGATTCCTGTTCACAGAGGAGGACCGCTATGACAGCTACTCCCGCATGCTGCTCAAGTACTTCCTGGCAGAGGGAGTTGTGTGTGGACATGAACTCTTCCTGGCATCTGCCCGAGATCACCCTGATCAGATCATGCAGGTATGAACAAAATCGAATCAAATGTTCACACTCTTCCTGTTTGACACTTTGGTCAAGTTTTTTGGTTCTGTGAACTCCAAGTACATAAAATCCATTATTTACCACCGTATTCTCTTTATATAACTACCTTGCCCTCAAAACAATAAACCTGGAGAAATCTGTGTGTCTTCATAAGTAAAACATTTTTTTGCCATTGGCCGGGGACAGTGTGACCGAGCATGACACAATGTCTGTATGTATTATTATGACTGTGCCATAGTCTGATTTCTGTATCTTCTTTTGGTCTAAGGTCACTTTGAAACTGTGTTGTGTCTTTTTGTTATTGGTTGTGTTTGGAATAGATTACCATACTAGTCAAAGTAGTCATACTATTATTTTTGCCCTGTATAGAATCTGTATAGTATGCAGTTTCAATGCAAGTATGAATTTCTTAATGCATAGGACATGCTTTGCACATTCCAAATCTGCCCCATAATGCGCACAAATTGACCTTGCATTGCTAGTACAATAAAGAAGTAACCAGAAGTAATATGTGCTGTAATTTTTTATGTGATAAAAGCTGTTCCAATTTTAAACTCTTCTTTAAATCTTTTAGTTAGGTCAGGTAGAAAGTCTTTCCATATTCAGATTTAATTTATCGATATAAACAATTCAATTTCATTAGGTGCAAAAAAGTCTGTAACTTTTGCATTAATTTAATTTTTTGTCTGTCTCTAAAATATATTTCAAAATTACTGTTCTTGTTGTTATTATTATTATTATTAGTAGTAGTAGTATTTAAGTGAGCTATTTAATGTTCTGCCTTTCATATTTTTTAAAATAGGAACTCCCTTCTCCAATTGTGGATGACGTTGCCGGCATGAAAATCAGCGAGGGTCAATCTCAGCCAATATATGGTTGAGACACAGAAGTAGCTGTAGTGACAATTAAACATGTTCGTGCAGGAAGTAGATTGAGGATATATATTTTTACAACTGAAAATAGGGCAGTAATTGTTTTGGTGTAGTAATTCAGAATTCATTATTAAATTCTGTATTTTGTGCATTTTACACCCCTAGAGAATAAAGTTTCTGTTATATTTGTTTTCTTCTTATTTGTAGAATGCTTTGGCATCATCAGTGAGGTTTGGCCATTACTATGACGTGTCCAAGATCATGGAGCCTGAGCTACGGCAAGCAGCCAAATGCCACAGTTTTTATCAGCTACAGGAAACACCAGTAACCACAGGATCAAGGTAACTGCTATTGTCCACTTGAATATCTGTTAGGAGTATCAAAATAAATGTTCAGTTACAGTGAATATTCAGAATAAGATGTTTACGTGCCCCGAAATTTGCATTGACATTTTGTTGTACACTACCATTCAAAAGTTTTGGGTTTGCAGGATTATTTTCAGCGCCACATGATCCTTCAGAAACCATTCTAATATGCTGATTTGCTGCTCAAGAAACATTTATTACTATTATCAAAGTTGAAAACAGTTGTGATGCTTATTGTTTTTGTGGAAACTGTGATATATTTTTTTCAACATTCTTAGATAAAATTCTGATTATTTACATTTATTTGAAATAGAAAACTTTTATAACAATGTGAAAGTCTATACTGTCTTTTTTAATCAATTTAATGCATCCTTTTGCTAAATACAATCATTTATTTAAAAACAAACAAACAAAAAAAGTTTGAAGTCGGAAGTATCAAGTAGGAATATTCAACATCCAGCTTTAAATGGATGAGTATCTTGCGTAAATATCAATATTGCGGTGACAAGGCTTTTATTATTACTCATGGAAGTTCATAAAAGAAAGCTTATTTTTAGAGACAGCTTAACCAAACATTATAACCAAACACATGCATGGCCTTCTGCACTTATCTTTCATAAACGTCCTTACTTCTAGTATGATAAGTGCGCTAGGTATCATCACATATCTCCAAGAAGAAAATGCTTTGTCAATGCTGATGTCATGTTTCTGAGGAACACATCTGCAATTTCGTTTTATGACTGGTGTCCAGCCTTATAAAGGTTTTCGTAAAACGTCTCTGTACTTCCAGGTCCTTGCCAGTACTGTGAGAGACGGGCTTGAGTCTTCAAAAGTGTCCCCAACTAAGCAAGCCAGAGGCGACCGCGGCAAGGAACCAAAACTCCATCGGTGGCAGAATGGAGAAATTACCTTGAGAGAAACCAGGCTCAGTTGGGGGGCCAGTTCTCCTCTGGCCAGACGAAACCAAAAGTTCAATTCCAAGCTGCAGCGAAGTCACATTGTGCAGAGGACTCAACTGTTTTTTGTGGTCTTGTCCCGGTGGCCGTCTAGGAGACAAGGTCTTCACTGGGGATCTGTCTCTGGGGCTCATCTAGTTGACAAGGTCTCCGCTGACATTCAGGGCTGTAGAGGTCATCTCTAGGTGCTGCTCCACCATCTGGGCTGGATACGTACTAGATCCGGGTGACTGCAGTGACCATCTGATCTGGATACAGACTGAATCTGGTGGCTATGGTGACCTCGGAATAAGAAAGAAACAGACTAATATTAGCGTAGATGACATTCTTCTAACGATGTAGCAAGTACATCGGGGTTATGGGAACTGTTCCCGGTTCCAGTTGTCCTAATTAATGCAGCCTAAGAATCCTTTAACGGATTTGAATATTAGAAATGTGTTAGTGTGCAGAGGTGTCAAGTAACGAAGTACAAATACTTCGTTACCTTACTTAAGTAGAAATTTTGGGTATCTATACTTTATTGGAGTAATTATTTTTCAGCCGACTTTTTACTTCTACTCCTTACATTTTCACGCAATTATCTGTTTAATAGGGAGCCAGTGCAGTGTTGACAGAACAGGGCTAATATGGTCATACTTCCTGGTTCTAGTAAGAACTCTAGCTGCTGCATTTTGGACCAGCTGGAGTTTGTTTATTAAGCGTGCAGTACAACCACCCAATAAAGCAATACAATAATCTAACCGTGAGGTCATGAACGCATGAATTAACGTTTCTGCACTTGACACTGAGAGCATAGGTCGTAATTTGGATATATTTTTGAGATGGAAAATGCAGATTTACAAATGCTAGAAACATGGCTTTCAAAGGAAAGACTGAGTATCATCAGCATAACAGTGAAAGCTAACACCGTGTTTCCTGATGATATCTCCCAAGGGTAACATGTAAAGTGTGAAAAGTAACGGCCCTAATACTGAGCCTTGAGGTACTCCATACTGCACTTGAGATCAATATGATACCTCTTCATTCACTGCTACGAATTGATGACAGTCAGATAAGTACGATTTGAACCATGCTAATGCATTTCCACTAATGCCAACAAAGTTTTCTAGTCTATTCAAAATAATGTTGTGGTCAATAGTGTCAAACGTAGCGCTAAAATCCAGTAGCACTGAGATACAACCACGATCAGATGATAAGATCAGGTCATTTGTAGGGCTGGACAATATTGCCAAAATTTATATCACGATATATTTCTTAATTTCGGTCGATACGGTATTGCGATATCGATATGAACAATTGTAAAAAAAAAATTTTTTTTTAAAAAAAGCCTCAGAAAACCTGCCAAGAACTCCCACAACAGATGTCTGTACCTACAAACTTTTGAAAAATGAATTTGCCAAGTCTCTGAAACCTCCTATAAAACTACACTACCAGTCAAGTTTTTTAACAGTAAGATTTTTAAATGTTTTTTTAAAGAAGTCTCTTCTGCTCACCAAGCCTGCATTTTTTTTTATCCAAAGTACAGCAAAAACAGTAAAAAAAATTAATATTTTTACTATTTAAAATAACAGTTATCTATTCAAATATATTTTAAAATGTAATTTATTCCTGTGATTTCAAAGCTAAATTTTTAACATCATTACTCCAGTCACATGATCCTTTAGAAATCATTCTAATATTCTGGTTTGCAGCTCAAAAACATTCATTATTATTATGTTGAAAACAGCGGAGTAGATTTTTTTTCTGGTTTCTTTGATGAATAGAATGTTCAGAAGAACAGCATTTATCTGAAATAGAAATCCTTCGTAACATTATAAATGTCTTTATCATCACTTTGATTAATTTAAAGCATACTTGCCAAATAAAAGTATCAGAATGATTTCTGAGGGATCATGTGACACTGAAGACTGGAGTAATGATGCTGAAAATTCAGCTTTGCATCACAGGAATAAATTACATTTTAAAATATATTCAAATAGAAAGCAGTTATTTTAAATAGTAAAAAAATTTAACAATATTACTGCTTTTGCTGTATTTTGGATCAAATAAATGCAGGCTTCCTTAAAAACATTAAAAATTTTACTGTTCAAAAACTTTTGACTCGTATACATAATATTTTAGAAAAAAAAACGGCACTAATAAATTAATGTTCACCTTTTACTAGTATTTAGCCTTCATACAAACAAGAAATATGAAATCACTGTCAAATAAATATAAGACTCAGGCTCGCCTTAATAATATTAATATCTTTAACTTTAAACTATAACGTAGGCTGATTATTCTTATAGATTGAAACAAAAGTGCTTCAGCCAGGATAAAGAATATGAAAAATGCTCAGAGTTGCTGCAGAAAACGGAAACAGAGTGCGCAACAACAAAAACATATTACTGGAGACGAGCCAGCAGGAGGCGTTTTAGAGCGGCAGTAACAGCGGTTTCCCCGATAACGGCTGTACACAAAGCAGCGCTCCGCTCATGAACGCTGGCTGCTTTATCAGATGAAAATGCCATCAAAACTTTTCTGAAGACAGTTAGTTCCCCTTCAAAGATACATTCATATAAAACACCCGCGCCACATTTTGATTTTGAAACGTGCAGTGCTCATGTTTATTCAAGGAAGTCAACCGCCACAAATAAATCAATGTATGACTTAGAAACACCGGTAATGTATATCGAAATATCGGAAATGTGTTTAAAAATCATATCACCTAGGGGTGTTCTGTTCCAGGTTTTTCGGAGTCGACTCCGACTCCCACCATCGGAGTCTATGAATCGACTCCTCGACTCCATTTAGCGTGACTGTCCAAATTAGTCCAATTTAGAGGTGACATTACCTTTAAATGAGCTATCACCGTTGTTTGCTATTGCCGACACTTAATCGACGCATCGATTTTTACAAAGCTCATTGGTCTGAAAAGCGAGGTGTGCTCTGATTGGCCAGCTATCCAGTGCGTTGTGATTGGCCGAATGCCTCAAGCGTGTGACTGAAATGTTATGCCCCTTACCATATTGTGATGCTCTGTCCGGCCGGAGCGATGAGACAAAAACATGAAAACCCATTACAAACGAGGCATTTGTTGCATCCAATGGGGACATAATTACGGATCATAAAGACTTATACTATCTTTTTACGCGTGAATGTATGTGTGAAAAGATTATCACTATGTTGAGAGAGGAAAAAAATTTGAAATCAAAATAATGGTGGTAAATAGCCGCGGATCATAGCGCACTGAGCACACTAAATAAAGCACAGTGAGCCCATGCTGCTTCTGCACCACATAGGTTACGCACCGCACACAGACTGCACTGCAAACGGATCCTCGCTCAATTTTGTTCACTCTTTGCTGATATATAGCACTCAACTGCCATGCACTATATAGGGATTTGAGAATCAGTGAAGACATCAGCGACTTCAGAGTCGACACCGAGAGTCGATTCCAGTGCTGGAGTCGACTCCGACTCTAGGGCTATTCAGAGTCGAGGAATCGACTCTTTTGGAGTCAGCTCCCCATCCCTAATATCACTGTTTTTGAAAAAAAAAATATCGCAATATATATTGATATTGAATTATTGTCCAGCCCTATTTGTAACTCTAATGAGAGCAGTCTCATTACTATGATACGGTCTAAATCCTCACAGATACCATTTTTCTCTAAGAAGGAATATAATTGTGAGGATACTACCTTTTCTAGTATCTTGGACAGAAAAGGGAGATTCGAGATCGGTCTGTATTTAACTAGTTCTTTGGGGTCAAGTTGTGTTTTTTTTGATGAGAGGCTTAAAAACAGCCAGTTTGAAGGTTTTGGGGACATATCCTAAAAGATATAAAATGCATTTGTTGAAGCAACTATGCCATTTTAGCTTGTTTCTATAAGTCATTGAGTTCTTTTATTGAGTGTCTTGACTAGTGGGAATCGTACCCGAATGCTCGGCATTGCAGTGCTGTACCAGGTGAGCTACTGAGCAAGTTTACTATAAAAGAAACCATATGGAGCTGGTTTTGTGTTGCAGATGTCAAATGTATTAGTTTACAAATCATGCATTGTGTTTTGTGTTTTGCAAAGTGTTTTGAGGTCATAACACAGTATTGTGCAGGGAACCGCATGGAAATATGTTTTTAGTAATCATAATTTGTGAGAAGAGGAGTAAAAGTTGTATAGGTACATTTTTTTTTAGTTTTGGCCTAAATATTTTTTTTTTTCGTTGAGCCTATTTTGGTGATTTTGCTATAAAGAACAAATTGGAGCAGAATCAGATGTAGAAAAAGGCTTCCTATCCCTTTCAAAGAAATCAATTAATCAGCAAGCTTAGTCGACAACCAAATGTCTTGAGATACAAAAAAAACCCTCATTGTCTTTCTGCGTTTCACAGCTCATAGAATAAAAAGCCCCATGCCGTTTCTAGACTGTTAAATTTCTCCGTTTCACTACGTGGCGTAATTGGCACAAATTGCTCTCCAGGTGAAAGCGGAGCCTGTTGTTTAAGATGGATGCTACCTCCACGCGCCCCTCTGGTCCCCTTCTCGCTCGCATCACTGTGATCTTAATTAGCTCACCTGTCGGCCATTATCCTCTACGGTCGGCACCTTAAGCGATCACGCTCTGTTAGGCTGGTGCCGTCTCTGTCTCGGACACAATGGGGGCGTGTCCTCTTTGATTGCCGCCACCCCCACCTCCCCAGGTCTTAATCAAAAGAGGGAAACACGTGTTTCACCCCATTAAGGAGCAAATCAGTGCGGTGGGTTCAGAGCGTGAAATTACACTACTGTTCAAATGGGGGTCAATAATATATTTTATTTAAGAAATTAATACTTTTGTTCAGCAAGGATGCATTAAGTTAATCAAACGTGACAGTAAAGACATTTATAATGTTACAAAAGATTTCTATTTCAAATAAATGCTGTTCTTTTAAACTTTCTGTTCATCATGTGACACTGAAGACTGGAGTAATAGCTGCTAAAAATTCTGTTTTTCAGGAAGAAATTACATTTTTAAAATATATTAAAACAGTTATTTTAAATTTGTATAATTTTTTACAGTGTTATGGTTTTTACTGTGTTTTTGACCAAATAAATGCAGCTCTGAAAGGCTGTGACACGCCCGGAGGTTGCTGTTCGTCATGCTTTAAATTCAGTTCTCAATCTTTGAGTAATTGGTGGCTGTCATAGCTACATGCAGAGTGGCACAGTGTGGTCATTACAACATGTTGTGAGCCAGAAGGAGAGGGAAGGACTGTAGTGACAGAATGAAAGCCTTTACAAAACCCCTGAGGTGTGATATATATTTTTAAATGAGCAATGCGAACTCTTTGTAGCAGGTTAATCTCAGTAGTATGCTTGGTCATTGTCAGTATTTCAAGTCTTATTTCAAGTCTTATGCTCATCACGGTTGCATTTATTTGGTAAAAGAAAAATACAGGAAAGACAGAAATATTATGAAATATTATTACAATTTTAAATAATTTGTCTTCTAATTAAATATATTTTAAAATCTAAATTATTCATGTGATGCAAAGCTGAATTTTCAGCATCGTTAATCCAGTGTCACATGATCCTTCAGAAATAATTCAATATGCTGATTTGCTACTCAAGAAACATTTCTTATTATTAATAATGTTGAAAACAGTTGTGCTGCTGTGGTTTGTGGAAGCTGTGATACACTTTTTTTTTTAGGATTCTTTAATTAATTGAAAGTTCAAAAGAAATTTGAATTTGAAATAGTAAAGACTTTCAAAATGTTTGAAACTCACTACTTTTGAACAGTAGTGTTTCTATTGTTGAATAATGTCTAACTTAAAATACTTATTTTTGTAGCATATTACACTTGAAATGTGTGCTTGTGCCAACCTTCTGTAAAATAAATGGCATGGCTTGGTATTTCCTCATCTAATGCAGTTTTGGGGTCTAAATACGTTTTGAGGACACTGTATAATATTCTCGGATTTTAGGGAAAAAAAAGAAAGAGACTTACTTAAAGCTGCAGTCCGTAAATTTTGGCTCTTTGTCGCCATCTCTGTTTGAAAACCTGGAATTGCAGCTGTGTGCGGAATTATCTTCCTTGCGTGGGTTGTGAGTCGGCACGGCTCCAGTCCGGATTAATCGAATGTTTTGAGGAGTATGTGTGTGTGGCAGTCAGTCACCGCACCGGTGAGGATATTCACTGTTCTTCGCAATCACAGATTCTAGCCTACGTCTTGGAATATATGACCCAAATAAGAATTTTCACCGTATATTGCCATCTGAACAAGTAAGTGACAAGTCTCCCACGTTTGTTCTGACCAACTGAGGAAAAAAGCATTACCATAAATCTCGCTACCAATGGTGATTAAATCTAAAGATCGATTAGCTCATATCAAATTATTATTATTGTTATACTTTATTCTCAAATGATTAATGTTAACATCAGCATTGGTGACGATGATTATAGTGTGTATTAGCGTGTAGATTTCAATTTCTGTACAGTCTAGCCTCTAATTGTCATACCATTCGAATTTCATATTAAGAAATTATTTTATCCCAAAAAGCAAATTATGCTCCCTTCGAACTGGTTTTTCTTTAAAATACAAATCTTTGTAATCCCAGGCTATCTGTAATCAGAAGCACATTTATAACTGGAATATAATTTAATTTAATTCACATGTGTTTAATAAACACATAATCCTTTCTGGATTACAATCCGCCATCAAAATGATACATTTAATTTTTCCAGCTGCTGTGAGAAAAGGCTATAAACGATCGGCCGCCTGCAGGATCCTCACATGCGATAGCCTAGTAGCCGGGACAACTTCTTTATGTTTACAGATGTGACATAATGACGCAGTGCCATGCTCGAATTTCCCACAAAAACCTACCCGTACCACTCAAATTAGAAAACATTATTATAATCTAAGCGTTGTGAATCGGGCTAAAATAAGGCGATAGTTTTGAACACTGGCTGGTTATGTACTTGCTCAAATATTGATTTCGGATCATTTTTAACCAAAAAAAAGTTACGTCTTTAAGTAAAGACAAAATGTGCAATGCAGAGCAGGTCAAGTGCTTTGACCTGCCTTGCTATGAGTTGCACATCTTACCCCTGATTTAACATAGAAGCGCTGTGTCACTGGGATCAGAAGTACTGTCCCGTTAACACGGTTTCAGCACACTCAGACTCACCGCAGGCCTCAGGGGGAGCGCCCGGAGCTGACAGAGGTGCCAAAGTGTTTAATTAATTTCATTTCATTTGATTTAATTAGTGATGTATTTCCTTGCATCTACATGCGTGGCTGGGTTGCCAGGGTTACTGCCGATGTCAACAGGCTTTTGTGATATCAAAGCAAATCCCACTTTATGACGGCAGCATATGCCACAACAATTAGTGGTTTTAATTGAAGTGTACTCGGATATCATCAGCTTTTGACCTGTTATGAAGCCATAATCATAATCGTCCACATTTAAGCACTTTCCTGAAACTGAACCTTTGCATAAGAAAAACAAATAAACTTTAAATAAATGGTTTGAAGCTATCATTTGTTTGCACATTTGTGTTTCTACCATTCTAAGTCAACTTTGAAACTTACAATTATGATTACAAATTGGTATGATTAATTGCAATTCCATAATTGTTGTTTTAGATTAAACGTCTAATAAAAAAGAGAAATGTAAAATGTGATTACGTTTTACACTTACTTTACCCTTTAAAGAATTGGGGTCTGTACAATTTTTTACAAATATTTTTGAAAGAAGTCTGCTGTCCAAGGCTGCATTTATTTGACCAAAATTACTGTAATATTCTAAAATATGATAATTGTTATTGATTATCATTGAAAATAAAGAGATTAGTAGAAGTATATATAATATACACTACGGTTCAGAGTTTAGGGTTGGTATGATTGTTTAGTGTTTCTGAAAAAAGTCTCTTATGCTTACCAAAGCTGCATTTAGCCTATTTGATCAACCATACAGTAAAACAGTAATATTGTGAAATATTACCATTTAAAATAACCGTTTTCTATTGTAATGTAATTTATTCCTGTGATAGCAAAGCTGTATTTTCAGCATCATTACTCCAGTCTTCAGTGTCACATGATCCTTCAGAAATCATTCTAATATGCTGATTTGCTGCTCAAGAAACATTATTATTATCAATGATGAAAATTATTGTGCAGCTTAATATTTTTGTGGAAACGAATACATTTTTCTCAGGATTCTTTGTTGAACTGAAAGTTCAAAATAACAGAATTTATTTTAAATAGAAATCTTTTGTGACATTGTAAATTCTTTCAAAAATAACACAAAAAAATCTTACTGACCAAACTATTGAGTGGTAATGCACAGTGTTTTACATTGGCATGAATGAAATTTATTTGATCAAATAATTATTTTAAAATCGTCATCATCAAAGTTGCTTCCATGATGCTAGGTTTTCTGGGTGCTTGGTTGGTGGTTCTTTTAACTAGCTTTGTCTCTTTTACATCTACAATCTCAATTTGCAATCTTTTCAAGCCTCTCGGCATATTTGTTTATCCAGCTTTCAAAATAAGTATATTTTGTTCTTCTCTCGTGTTTTTTTCAGTCCGTTACCATCACCCTATCATGCTCTCCTAAAGTCCATCCAGACGGTCATCCGGAAAGAAGGGTTTGATGGATCCACGCCACAGGTTGGTTGTCATTTGTTTGTCATTTGTCTCTTTAAATGATAATGAGCTACTGCTCACCCCACCCCTCTCTTCTGTTTTTTGTGTATTCGGTGGCACATTAAAATGTGACTCTTATGTTAACTTTTACATCCAACTACAAAACACCTGCATTGCTTACAAGACATTGTTGTCGCTACAGCTGCTCGAGTGTGGAAAAAATGGCAGACAGCGTATAACTGTCTGAGGGCGGAGATATGCTAATTCAGGACAGTCCGTCAGCGGTCGTGGGCGGGGCCTCAAAACTGCTTGATAACTGAGACTGTTTAGGTTTTTTGGGAATTAAAAAAAAGCGAGTGAATTGATTTTTATCATTGTAGTGTGGGTTGTGTCCACACACTTCTAAGACACATTTATATGCAAAAGTGAATTTTGCATCCGATGTCCCCTTTAAAGGAATAGTACCCGGGAAATGAAAATACTGCCATCATGTACTCAGTCTCGTGTCTTTCAAAATCCATGAAATTTTCTTTCTTTTGTAGAAGAAAAAAGGTGTTAATCGCACCAAAATGCCTTATTTCCATGAACAGTGACTTCAGTCATATGGCTTCAGAAGACATGAAATATATGAGTGTATGAGTCAACTTTTATCATACTTATGGTTATTTTTGTCCTTTTTTAGAGCTTGACAGCCCCTGGTCCCCATCCACTTTCATTGTATGAATAAAGAGCAGTTACTACAGACACTTTCCCAAACATCTTTTGCATTCCACAGAATTAAGTTAGTCATACCAGTTAGGAAGAACGAAGAGGAGAACATGAGGGTGAATAAATGACACAATAACAATTGTTGGGTGAACTATCCCTTTAAACTGACCAAAAAGACTATAATGAAATGCACAGTTAACAGACACCCTGTCATTCACACCTCTGGAACAATGAAAGCGTTTTGCCGCAGGCAGTGTTTTTACAAGACCTTTAATTTGTTGTTTCATTGATTGGTCTCGGTTGGCTAATTGTTGCCTGATTTTGTCTGTGCTTTCACTTGCTTTGTAGTGTGGCTTTCGTAGCTTGTGATAATTAGGAAATCGAAAAGAGCTTCAAATATAAAGGCTTTATTTTTTTTCTTTTCCTTTCCACCTTTATTCCTCTTTTTCTCATCTCATCCTCAGTTGTCAGTTTCTCCATGTTGTGCTCGAATCGCTCTCAGGAGGGAGATGGGTTCCCTTGGGTTTCTGTTCCTTAAAGCTGAGTCCTATTAGTTTTGTGGTAAACAGGCCAAGACAGACACTGGGCAATATGCCCTCTGTCTGTTCATATTCATTAGCTCCTACTGAGAAGCCGGGGAGCTCGGCCCCTCTGGGGGCCCCTCTCAGAAACGGCCCCATGATAGCCTCTGTCTTGACTTCCACATCAGCACTGCATCTGCCGAGCCGCTCTTGGGACCGGGCCGCTTGAGGATACACTCGCTATTTTTAATCAGTTTCCAACTTTATGTGGCTCTAATGTGGCTTCTGTCATGTGCTGAACTCCAGAGATGATCTCCTGGCCAAATTTGGTGTCAGGTTAAGTAAACAGGCCTATGAGTTTATTCAATTAAGTTTACTTCATTAAATGAAATCAATTTACTTCAGAGTCTTTAAAACCACTTTTATTACTTTATTTTATATTTTAGAGATGTATTTTCTATTTACACATCTTTTAGTTTCACTGCAGGCTTATGTCAACCCAACAAGAAATTAATTAAAAAAAGAGAAATTGCTTGTTCTTGTGCTAAATTCTACTTGTATAGGAAATGGTAATACAACTAAATAATACATAAAATACTACTAAACAAAATTGTTAAATGGAGTTCTAGTTCAGTTAAAGATAAGAAAAGCATGTCAGTGTACAGTTTTGTTTGGTTGCCAGAAAAAAAATCATCTTACTGCAAAAGTTTGCATCCAGGATGTATATGAATTTGTTTTTTTCTTCTGAACATATTTGGAGAAATGTTTAACATTACATCACTTGCTCACCAATGGAATGGGTGCCGCTGATAAAGCAGCTGATAAAAAGATAACTATGTTAGCGTCCACACCAATGGACCATTACTTTCAGGAGTAATGCAGATGAAGGTGTTGATTGTCACCTACATTCAGCATTTCAACAAAGTCTCTATATATACGTCCAAGCATCTCAGATGATGCCCCTTTTTTTTTTTTTTTGCTTGCCATTTTATATTGCTTAAGTTTTCTTATTTGAATATTCTAATCTTAGCATAGACCTTTCACTGACATGAAACATATAGTTTGACAACATATACAATTGAATTAACCTTTAGAATAACGGTGTTAAATGAAAATGTCGATTTTATTTCAAGTTCAACTGTTTCCAATGTTGTTAAACTGTTTTAAACTATAGTTTAAAGTTTGACCGAATCAAGTTCCCAATCAAATCTTATTCTGTTCTTGTTTGTGCTAGCTCTTTCTTGTTGATCGTTGCACTTTAGTGTTTTTCTTTTAATCCGTGGCACTGATGGACACCTCATGCTCCTCACCCTGGAAGTCCTCGATCCACTGTCAGTCAACCGACAGATTAAGTGCTTACATCATCAAACAGTGCCGTTCTGTTGGCAGAGGTCGCGGAATGTGATGAGGTTGAGAGAACATGGGCACAAAGGCAAGAATGCTCAGAATGAGAGCAAACAGGGCAACAGTGAGACTGACTAAAACGTTTGTCAGAATGGTGACTCAATTCTAGCTATGACTGCAATGCCCTATAAAGTTTGAATAAAATGCCGTAACCTTTTTTTGGTCATGGTAGGTTTGGTAAAATCAGTAATGAACCTATATTTTTTGATTTGATTTGATTTGATTTGATTTGATTTGATTTGATTTGGGTTGGGTTTGGTTTTTTTTTTTGGTTTGTTTTTGTTTTTTTGGTTTGTTTTGGTTTTGTTTTGGTTTGGTTTGGTTTGGTTTTGTTTTGTATGTTCATGTTACCATCAGAAATGGTTATAAGCATATCATCTTTCTCATGCACACAGCGGGGAAAGAGTGTGAGGACTAAAAAGCTGGAGTGTGGCCGAAAGGAAGGAGGAAGCCGGTGAGTTAGGAACACCCTCTTTGTGGAAATGTCAAGCTCAACTCCCAAGAAACACTTTGGAAACACAGTCAAACAATGAGGTTTATTTAACTTGTGATTGCTGAACGGTGTAGAGGGTGTTAACGTTACTGTTTATTGTCAGTGGACGAAGGCTGATGTGAGGAGGACGACCAGGGCGGTAGACAATTCAACACCACGGCTATTTTCAGCTGGTTTAAGATATCTAGCTTCCTTTTCTCTATTTCAAAGATGTGAGCAGGTTAATTGGTTATTCACAATATAAAGATTTAACCGTATGTACAATAAGAAGAAACAATAAGAAGAAGAAGAAGAAGAAAATAGGAAATTCTTGCATTAGGGGAACTTTTCTGTCCCCTGAGACTATTTTAAAATGTTTTAAAACATTATAAGAACTTTAAACATTTTGTGCAATTTAATTACTTTTTTAAAAATCATTTTTGAGAGTGTTAAAAGGTTGCTGGAATAACTTTCTATATTTCCCTTTATTTCTTTTTAAGTGGGAGAACTTGCACAATTGGTGGCTGACTAAATACTTTTTTGCCCCACTGTACATTTTAATCTAAAATGATTTATTTACATTTATTTTAATGGATTTATTAAAATTAAGTTTTTTTATTACATTTTCAGTTTTTTTTTAAAGTTTGTTTTTTGATATGTTCAAAGTTAATTTGACTGCTACACTAGCTAACTTGTTGTGTTTGTAAGTCTGCAGCTTGTCCAAAAAGTGTATTTTTACTGAAAGGGAAAGGCTTCCTAAAGACTATAGGAACTTAGGTCTGAACTGAAAGTGCTGGTAAAATGAAGACCTAACTTTCTTTTCACATCTTCATAAATATGCAAATATGAAGTTGTCCTGCATTTTTGAGACATCTGAAACTTGCATTGGTGTCACACCGTGCCAGTTGCCAGTTATCTAGTTGTTCTGGTCTGAGGTGTCCTCTCGATCTTTATTAAGCAGGTTCAGAATCAGCTCTTTGGTCTTTGATGGTTTGTGAATAAGGTTCAATTCTCTGTCAGACTTTGTGCACTGTAGAGGGCACATCTCTCACCCATGGCCCCTTAGCTTGGCTGATGTTGGCGAATAACGTGCCAAGAATTTCCTGGCACTTGTTGGAAGCAGACATTTTGGCTCTTATGTTGACAGCCACATTGTGGTCATGTCAGGCAACTGTCCTGATTGGAAGATGTCGTCCAATCACTTTTGACCATCGTGTTCCGTTTGACCGTGCTGTTGAGTGGTCTTGGCTGGGCCGTTTGTTTCATTGATTCAAGTTGTTTGAGAGGTACATGACCCTCACTCCAACAGACAAAAGGCTTTTCACTACAGACAGGATTCCACTACTGACTTAGTTACACAAGTCATTGCACACTTATGTATGACATACTATTTGGGCACTGTTTTGTTTGCTTTTCACCATTCTCCCTCTCTCATTATGGAGAGCGTATAAATGTGAAATTGTACAATGGCTAATCATGTCCTGTTGAGAGTCTCTAATTGATTAAGAAAATTGCTTGATTAAGTGTTGTTTGTGATTTAAGTGTACTTTCATTAATACAACAAGCACAGACAATGAGTACAGTTAAATAAATAGTTCACCTAAAAATTAAAATTAGCTGAAAATGTACTCGCCCTCAGGGCATCCAAGATATAGATGAGTTTGTTTCTTCATCTGAAGAAACATCACAAATGGATCCTCTGCAGTGAATGGGTGCCGTCAGAATGAGAGTCCAAACAGCTGATAAAAACATCACAATAATCCACACCACTCCAGTCCATCAGTTCACACCTTGTGAAGTGAGAAGCTGTGTGTTTGTTAGAAACACCTCCATAATGAAAGTTTTTAACTTCAAACCGTTGCTTCAGGATAAAATACCAGTCCTCTATACATAATATTGCTTTCTTCAGTAAAAAAGTTGTCTTGTCTGAATCAGGAGAGAAATATGCACAGATCAAGCACTGTACAAGCAAAAACAGTCCAAAACAAATTCGTCAGTGAATTTTGATGTGAGAGGACAACAGGAGATAGACTTTTTCATTGTGATTGGTTGTCTGTCTTGCATTTATATGAAATTTATTCCACCATTAATCTATCCATAGCTGTCTTTGCAGTGCAAAAGTATCACACAATTTATGTTATCTGTTGGTTTTAATGCACAGCAGACAGAAAAGACCATGCATGCCCAGTATCATGACAACAATAAAGATTAATGTGGTTCTGATGCAACGTTTTATACAGAATCAAATCCTGAATCTTAAACTTGCCTGAAACTTTAACACTGTTTAACACACACAGTGTTCTTATTTAGATGCAGAATTACTTGTTATAGAGTTATAAACACTGTAAGGAAAAATTTAAGTATCATTTGATGTATTACTGTAAATAAGTGTCATGCAACACTACAGGTTTCTCCTTGTTTCTCTTGTAAATTAAGGTGCGCTTCTTAAAATACTGTTAAGATATTCATTCATGCATTTTTGATATAGCACATTTCATACACAGTGGTAATTCAAAGTGCTTTACATAAAATAAAATAAAATAATAATAAAAAAATAATCACAACAATAAAACAAGGAATTTAAAAACTTTGAAAATGATTTCAAAATTGATTTGTTTAAAATGAACTTGAAACCGTTAAGAATAGAAAATGATTATACATCAAATATAATGCCAAGGTTTACCCTACAGTGCTTTAAAGAAATATCCATTGCACAAGCCAGATGTGTATTTGATCACATTGTACATATCCAGATTGTCTCGAAATGAATGCATTGTTGTTTGAAAATCAGATTTTTTTGTGATTGTCTCTTTTATTAAAATGTTTTTTTTTTTTGCACTTCTGTAGTCTAAGGTTCGGAATGTCCTGCGGCTGGGTCTTCATTCTCTGGGATCAGTGCTGTGGGGGGATGATGTGTGCTGTAAGGATAACCCCGCCCACTGCCACGCCCTCACAACTTTTCTCTACATCCTCCGAGGCCTGTTACGCACATCACTCTCAGTCGCCATGGTGACCGTACCATCCCACCTCATACAGGTATTATTAATCGGATAGTTTCTCAGTGTGTTCATATAAATCCTTTGTTCAGGTTTATTTTCGAGACTGATGGTTGAAAGTCACCCTTAAATGCTGATATTATTTTTTAGAATTTTGTGTTATTACATTTTACAACTACACTACTGTTTTTTTTTTAAAGAAATTAATTTTATTCAGCAAGGATGCATTAAATTGATAAAATCCTATCTGTCTGTCTGTCTGTCTGTCTATCTGGGCTTGGTTTTTACACAAATTTCACAATTCGATAGGATTATCCTTCACAAGCTTGCGATTTCGATTCGATTCAGTATCGATTATTTTGGCTATATATCAGGTACAGGACATGGAAAACATTTTCAAGGAAAAAAAATCAACTAATGCTGTAAAATATACCTGAGAGTTATTAATATGAAAGGTTGAAATCTGATGATTTGTATATAAACACTTAAAATAAATTCAAAGTTTTTGTAATATTAAAGTTATAATACTAACTTAATTAAAACATAAATTAAATATTGAAGTAAAAAAAATTATAATGAATATGTTATATGGTGCATATTTAGGAAAATTTTCCTCTCTAGACAAAATCTAGCTGACTATTGAGCTCATGGTTACAAATATGTTTTTCTGTGGTAAATGTGACGTTACGTGACATTGTTTATAAGCTATTGTCGCCTTTCCGCGTTTGAAACCCTGATTGAGCGATTAAATGAGACAGGATGTGGATTTTGGTAAGTTGTACTCTTTCTTTTAACATACCTTCAGATCTTCATTCATGTTTATTTTGTGCTGTAACTGCTGTTAAAGCAGAGGAGACGATCTGTTCACGCTGCCGCTTCTAAACGAGGTGCTACAGCGATCCGTCACTTCCAAGTGGCAACCTTCCGGACTCTCTCTTGAAACCAACACGGAAGTGACTTAAACTGGAATTCATCGACTGGCCGCTAGAGACTGGCTCCAAAAGGGAGTCAATCCCATAGACCCCCCCCTCCCCATGTTAAAATGGCCAACTTTACAGCAGAAACATTTTTTTTACAGCCTGGTACAAGAAGTGGTTTTGGTCTATATAGCTAATTTTGCCCTTCATGACAACTGTGAGGGGGTATATATATAACTCATCCATTTAAATTATATTAAGCCTAAGATTCTGCATAATTAAGGTCGTGGCCACTTGAGTGACAGGTGGATTGCCACTGCTGTCACCACCGTCGAGCTAGGTGGGCATGGTTTCAGCAACCAGCTGTACCCACGTCCCGCCTCTTTGCCCATTTTCGATTATCCAGAAGTGCGGTGACGGGCTGCCAAGATGGCGACGGCCAGCTCCGCCCACTTTGGGCTTCAAAAATGCTCTTCAGAAACCTACGGGTGACGTCACGGACACTACGTTCATGTTTTTATACAGTCTATGGTCACTTCACATTAAACAGCACCAAAACAGCATTTCATATTTGAATATTGTGATAAAATGGATTGAGAATGAGAATGAGAATTGATTCAAATCTAGGGATTCATGAATCGATATCGTTTCATAAAAATTTAAATTGATTGATATCTATCTATCTATCTATCTATCTATCTATCTATCTATCTATCTATCTATCTATCTATCTATCTATCTATCTATCTATCTATCTATCTATCTATCTATCTATCTATCTATCTATCTATCTATCTATCTATCTAAAATCTAACCACTGAACTGTGATTGGTTGTCTTTCTTGCATTTATTTGCATACATATTTTTCTTCAGCTACTGTATTGCAGTGCATCCCCTCCCCATTTTGTATCTGTGGTGTTTGTTAGGGATATTACTCATACTGAGGTTTAGGGATGTTAAAATCTTAACCCCAAGTATTAAACTAGGGGTGCAAATGATACTTTAAATCATGCTGCTTTTTAAGGACAGATGAGCTCTATCTTTTCTAAACAATAAGATTCTCAGTTTTTGATGATCAAACCTGCTAAAATCCATAGACTTACACTGAAGGAAGAACACACAATATTGAGGCACAAGGATATTATAGAGACTTAGGGTTGTTCTAGCAACACCTTGGTATCCACTCACAACCGTATTTTGGCGACGGGTCTTGCACAGGCACTCTTCAAAAAAGGTATCTGTTGTAGTTTTGTTTTTTGCTATCATCATGCAAGATAGACTTTTCCACCATTGACTTCCAGAACTAATCCCACAGAACAGCCTTTTTAGATTTTTTTTAACTTGACTGTCAGTCTCATGGACCAGCATTGAGGTCACCATAAGTTTGTCGACCCTGGCACACCATCATCGCCCCATGAGCCGGAGTCAAAGAGTCGACCCCCCTCCGTTGTGTGAATGAGGTTCCGCTTGGCTGGGGTTCAGGGGGCCTGTGTGTGTATCTGTTTGAGTACATGTATGTTTGGCCTTCAGAGGAGCATCTTCATTGGCGCGTGAACCCACATTCTTTGTCTGAGGCCCTCAACTTTGCATTCAGCCAGCCAATGGTCAGTCTCGAGTCGTTCTGGGCGCTTCTGTCTTTCAGCGTCTCTCGGTTCCTGAGAGGCCCTTTTCTTTGTGCCTCCATTAGCCAACGAGAGTCAGGCCACAGCCGCTGTGCTCTAAGAGCGCTTCAAAAGACAAGATCTCGCTGTTCTTTGTCCGTTTGGAGACAAAGTGCTAAAACCCCTCTCAGGGATGCTGGGGGGTCACACAGTGGTTTTCTGCGGTGGAGGTGATAGAGTAAATGCTGTGATTGGTTTGAATGTGGTTTTGTGGAACAGATGTGATGTAAACTAATATAGACCTTTCAGTAAATACAGAATGTTTTAAGGTGAAGATTTTAGCTTTAACTACTAAACTTGGGGTAAACTCTTGTGCTGTTGTGTTAAACCTCCATTATTTGCATTAGCACCTCATCTGAAGTCCATAGGATGTGACTTGAAATGAAAAGTCCTGTTATGTTTTTTTTTAAATCTCAACAGGAAAGGGACGGGCATTGAAAGCCTCCTCTGATGAGACTAAAGCCACAGTCCATCTGAATCTTTAATCAATCTCTGCTCAAATAGCCATAGTCCACTAGCACACACACCTACAGTTACAGCCGCTGTTGGGTCAGGACCCTGGAGACCCGGTCTGTCAGTCTGAAGAATGACAGCTTCGGAGACCTGAAGGAAGTTAAAGGAAGAGCTGAACAACTATCGTGGCTAAAGTTAGCCTTTCGATGTGGCTTGTAGAGCAGTTCAATTAGTAGGCCTATAAATCTGTGTCCAAATTGGCAGAAAGCAAGGACTCATTGTTCCTAATGTTTACACATTCACTGTGTTTTCTTTATTAAATATTTTATTTCCTAATTTGATCATGCTTTGAGCCACCAACAAGACTGAAGTATGGACATACCTTTTGCCATATTAAAATCTATTAATTAGATTAATCTATTAATAAAGATTTTCCCATAAAATGTAATTGGTCTATACTTGTGTATCATTACACATTAGCAAAATACATTTCTACTTTTTTTTTTGCTTTGCACCTGTAATATTTACATTTTAAATGACCTTAAATGTATATTATTTATAAGTTTTTCTTTACATATGCAACTTTTTAAAATATTATTTTCAGAACATAGCTAAATCAAAGATTGATTCAAATTTTTTTATGTCACAGAAGTATTGTTCCTTATATCCTTATATACATCTCTGTGTTGTGTTTTAAATTAGTTAATTAATTAATTTATTTATTACAATGGGCAAAATCATGCGTCAAGAAAACTAACCAATTCAACTACACACGGTGTTTCCTAGTATCTTTTTTAAATTATAAATAACACAAGCAGTAGATTTAAAACAGTCTCTTCCACTAACTTTCTTTAACCTGTTTGCTTTATTAAACCCCATCCTTGACTTGAGCCTTCAGTATGTTGGCTCAACTGTTGTAGTTGCATTTTTTGTTGTTTTGTTTACTTGCATTGGTGTGATGTTGTGTCACTAACGCAGTTGCTTGGGTTCCATTTTTTATGCTAGATTTGGGAAAAAGGTCACGGCTGCGTACACGAACATGCATGCTCTCAAAGTCCACTTTAGATGAGAGGAAGGGATGAAAAGAGAAAGAAAGAAAGAAAAAAAGAAAGGACACGGATGCATGAAAACTGCATTAGGCCTCGTCAACTGCTACAGAGAGGGAGCGTATGAAATATTCACGAGTGGTGTAGAGATGAATTTTTCACATCGGGCTTATCTTTCTGTCTTTCTCTGGAGTGTTCCCTCCTTTCTGAAGGCACTTTGTATTTGTCTGTGGCCAGGAGGTGGCGCTCTCAACAGATTTTTATGTGTTTGTGCATGTTTGCTCTTTAATACTTTAAACTGACTTCTTTTCTCATCTGTATTGGCCTGAGTGTCTTTGCAATTGTTGATTTGGGTTTGTTCAGTTTTACCCATGAGCTTCATATCGGTAAGGTCAGAGGGTTTCATGACTTCTTTTCCAAGCCCATTATGTGTTTATTAAATATTTTGGCCCGTTCTATCATACTTTGATCTGTTTACCATGTTTTTACCACATTTTAATCTGTTTATCAGAATTAAACCAAATGTTTCCCATTAAAATCATCACCAAAAATGCATTACGAGCCAGTCCAAAACAGGCCATTTCAAATAATGAAATGTAAACTTGTATAGTTCATATGTGACACAAAACCTTGATGAGCTGAAAGACATGTTTGAAATGCTTTAGATTTCTTTAGATTTTTAAACCATTTAACAGCAGATATTTTTGGAATGAAAGCATTAATAGGCGAGATGTCTTTTCTCTGACTTGGATGTGGACGGGATCTCTGGATCTTTCTCTGAGTTGATGTGGCTTTTTGCTTACATTCGTCCAGATTTGTGCCGTATGGTCACACTGCATGAGTCGTGCGATCAGAGAAAGAGAGACGGACAGATTCGGAGAGCATGTGTTTGAGCAGCAAACGTATGTTCTGCTCTGAGCCGATGGATTTAATGTTACACGACGCAACCAAAGGCAGCAGTTTACAGAGGTGCCATTATGTAATACAGCTAATTTCCTTATTAGAGACCATCTAATAATACCAGTTTGGATGCTATGATTGATGCAAGTGCTTATCCAAAATATTAAAACATAATTTTGTTGCATTGAACATTGTTGATTGCTAGGTGGTTGATTACTTGCCCAAGTCAAAAGAGCCCACTGTTTTTTTGACACCAAACTTTTTAATTACACCTCAAGTGGACATCAATAATCTCTCAAATGCAAACAATCCTGTGCTAATGCTAAAGATTTCAGTCATCTTAGAGAGTGGTATTGGTAAAATGGAAACTGGAAAAATGGAAATTGCTGATATCTTGGGTAGTTTTGTAAGCTGAGGCTTTGTTGTAAGACCATGAATTCAGTCTCTGGAATACCCTGCTTAATTTTTTCTGAGATAATGACCTAATTCAGTTCTCACAGGAAAAGGAATATAACCCGTGCTCGGTAGGAGGGATTTAATTAGCAAGAGATGCTCTCAGCATTGCTCTAGACTAGATGTTCCTGCATGTGCTTGTACCCGGCACTTCTCATGTATTTCCTGTCTCTCTCATCCTCTCTCTCTTCCCGTCTCACTCTCTCAGAACAGAGCCGTAATGGGCCGAATAATCAGACTGAGTGACACTGCCATCGCTCTGGAATCATTCAAAGGCTCGGAGAAGGAGACCAACCCGCTTTACAAAGACTATCATGGTGAGAAGAAACATACATATGAGTTTGAATGCATTGACAAAAAAAAAAAAAAAAACTTAAATCCTAAATATTAAACTTTTCCTTCTAACTTGCTCTGCAACACTTGATATCTAATTTATGCAATCAGATTTTTTTGTTGTTATTATTATTATTTTTGCATGGCGGACAATACAGCTGATTAAAAAATTGAAAAATATATAAAAAAGTAAACAACAGATAAAACATTAGTAAATACTATATAGATGTATAAAAAAACTAATAAATGTCAAAAACACACAACAACATAACTAAAACTAACTCAAATTAAAGTGAACAAAAAAATTTATTCAAAATCTGAACAAAAACTATAACAATATATCAATCATACTAAAGTGTTGTTTATTTTTAGCAAAAACTAACTTCGTTATTTGAAATAAGGCTGTAATATATATACATATATATATATATATATATATATATATATATATACACATATGTAAACGAATATAAATGTATATGAAAAACTTAAATGTAAAAAAACTAGAAATGTTCCCGTGGCAACTAAGTAAAAGAAGTTTACGTTGAAGTACTAAAACTAAAATTAAAGCTAAAAAGAAATATTAAAAAATAATTTAAAAAAAGTCAAAAGCACATAACAAAATTATTAAAACTTAATCTAACATGAAAATGGAATATATACAAAAATTAAAGCTACTAATACTATAATAGTATATAAATAATACATAAATAACACTACTCAGCATAGCAACACCCTAGCAACCATTCACAACAAAATCATGGCGGAGCATTTTACATGGACAAACACCCCTCGCATTTGCTTCAGAAAATGTATTTTCAAAAGATATTTCATTGGTCCCTCGTCTTATTCGTGCCTTTTGCATCCTATATTTCTCACTCACTCACTCACTCACTCACTCACTCACTCACACACACACACACACACACACACACACACACACACACAGGCTCAGTAAAGTGCATTAGTAGAGGGGCAGGCAGGGTGGACCTCTCTCTAGCTGTCAGCTCGTATTAGTGTGGCGTGTTCAATCAGACGTGCTCCTTGGCAGACAGGCCAGGGGGAGATTCAGCTGCCACGGCAAACGTCCACACACACACACACACACACACACACACACACACACAGATCCCCTCCGCCCCATCACAAGCACCCAGCACAGCCCTCAGGGGCCACAGAGTTGCAGAATCAATATTTTCATACTGGCTAAAACCTCTCTGTGGCCAGCCTGCAGATGAGGAAGATCTTTTGGGCTCACGCTCTTTCCGTTCTGTACTTTTTCCTCTCATTCTGCCTCTTTATATTCTCCCTTGTTTTCATCTCTTCTTGTTGCATGCTTTATCTTTTCATCTCTTTTGTGTCCATCTTTCTGTAAAGGTCAGTTTGTTTACAATTCTCTCTCCTTGTTTCCGCCCCCTGCCCTGTTTCTTTCTTGCACTCATTTGCTCTGTGTGTACGTAATGGCCAAGGGGGGTGTGGTTTAAAAACACTATTTGATTTATTTATTTTATCAATCATTTCTATAAGATGCTTCTCAGATGTTTATGAACAAATTAGATACTAATGATTTCAATTTCATGTTAGTTTATTAATTAATTAATTTGTTTTATAATATAATTTTATTGTGATGTTATTATTTTATTATTTTATTTAATTAATTTATTAGTGTGTACGTAATGGCCAAGGGGGGTGTGGTTTAAAAACACTATTTGATTTATTTATTTTATCAATCATTTCTATAAGATGCTTCTCAGATGTTTATGAACAAATTAGATACTAATGATTTCAATTTCATGTTAGTTTATTAATTAATTTATTTGTTTTATAATATTATTTTATTGTGATGTTATTATTTTATTATTTAATTTAATTTATTTATTTATGCATTTAGCAGACACTTTTATCCAAAGCGACTTAGTGCATTCAGGCTATACATTTTTACCAGTATGTGTGTTCCCTGGGAATTGAACCCACGACCTTTTGTGCTGCTAACGCAATGCTCTACCACTGAGCCACAGGAACACATTATTAGTATTTGTTATGTTATGATGTTTTATAATGTTATTTATGTTAATGTAATTTCTTTATTAAGATGCTTATCAGAGGTTTATGAATAAATTAGATGATTTCAGTTTCATAAGTATTTTTTTTCTTTTTCATTAATGTGTGTATTTTTATGTATTTATTTATTAATGCATGTAATTTACATTTCAGGTCGCAGTTACATTTGTCAAAGTATTATTTATTTTGTTTCATTATTTAAAATATTACTAAAAACTGCTAGGTCAGTCACTTTTGTCAAAGTGTCATTAATTTAGTTTTAGTTTATTACTTACTGTTCTTTGACAAAATAATACTTTTTTGTGTATTTATTCAGCAGTACATTTGCTAAAACATTACTTGCTGGATGAATATTTATGAACAAATTAATTATTTCAATTCCATGAATTAGTTCTTTTTAAGAGTTTGAAATGTTAGTAAGATATTTTTAAACAAAGATGCTACTGATTTAATTTGTGTGAATTAGCTTGTTTTAGGATTTATCATGTTTACAAACAAATAAGATGTTACTGATATTAATGTTATCTTAGTTGTATGTGAATTATCTGTTTTTAAGATGTTTGTAAACTGATAAGATGCTTAAAGGGGTCATATGATGCTACATGCACTTTTACAAGTTGTTTGAACTGAAATGTGTTGGCAGTGTGTGTACACAACCACCCTATAAAGATAAAAATCCACCCAGTGTTTTTTTTTTAATCTGCTCAAATCTTTACCCCTTTCTCAAATCGAGCCGATCTCGGATGCCTGTCTGTGTGACGTCACACAGACAGGC